TGTGGCCCTGGCCTCGGACCTCTGGAAAAAAAGGTCTTGTTTTGGCAAATTTGTGAGTGTTGCTACCATTTACGCTGATCGATACCCACATGTCCCTGTATTGATCCTCACATCTGTGAGGGAACTTGAGAGAATGGATCTGTTTGAGTTTTCATTTAGACCACACATCGGGATCAAGAGAGATCAGCACTAAAGAGACTAGTGAAGGTCTCTCTCTGTAATGCCATATTGGACATGACAGTAGAAGAAAAGAAAGATAGAAACGTTCAGGTTTATTTATATTCTCGATAGCCCTGTTTATGAGTCACTTGAATGGGCCATCGCGCTGTTGAGTGTGATAACAGTTACTGCATGTCAGCACATCAAGTGTGACCGATGGTGTTTGTTAATTAGCTTAATTGCCAATGTAAATATTTAACTAGTAATTAAAAGCATCCTCAGTCTATGATTACATCATCGAGAAAACAGTCCTCAATGCACTCAAACTGCCATGCCGTAACATCAGTCTTTATTTGTCACAGGCCATTTGAAAGCGGTTAGGGTTACATCAGGCTTCATTACAGAGCCCCCGAAGACATTATGGAAACAATCCTTACCACATAATTTCTCTTAATTACTTGATGTCAGATCAAGCATATTCAAGACCAATCAGTCCTCTCATTTAGAGTGAATGTGTGTTCATATGTTTGGGGGGGTCCTGGAGGGCTCTTTTTCACACCCCTATCCCTCCTGTCACACTGACCTCCCAGAATACCTAGAGCTTCCTCATTAATCTCAACACGACAGCCCTTGACCATTTGACTGTGTGTGTGACTTCTGCGAAACAATATATCCGGCCGACAGACGATGATGGGACTATTCCCAAGTTTCCTTCCTCGCTTTGAAGCGGCACCCTTTTAAATTGACTGACATTATTACCATGTCAGAGTGTCACTCACGTGATACCTGGACAGAATCTGGCGGAAACCAATTAAATTGAGGGTTTTGTGTGTTTTCTATTCGTATTTGGGCGTTTTAATTAATTGTTTTAGGTATTTTGGGTCTCTCAATGTGAATGTTTGATTGTGTGCGTCTGATTTTGTGTGAGATGTCTGAGGAAAATCTAAACGCACCTGTCCTCCCTCTTGTGTTTTTTATTACGTCTTCCCTGGCCTCTGATCCTCCCCGCAATGTTTTAATCATGATGCCACTTGTTTTTAATTATAAACACCTACAAGCTACATATTTGAAAAACTGTTTGATGGAATTTGAGCCTATGGGTATCTTCCGTTTGCTTTGAAAACAGGGCTCCTCAACATCAAAAGCCGGTCCTCTTTTGAGGTGTCCATGTTGCTGTTTGCATATAAGGCCTTGAGTTTTGAAAAGCAAGGTCAGCATTTGTTGTTGATGCATGGAGCCAAACAGGCCTCTGAGGCCAAAGGAGAGAGGATTACAACTCTGATCTACCCATCCCCTTTTAAAAGCATAGAAAATGCTCCCAGAACATCTGCAGACTTTAACCTTAAAGAATTAACGAGTTTACAAGCTTTTCCAATCAGAAACTAATCAAGTTATGTTATTTTTCAAGGTGCGTTGTTTATTTTTACTTTTTTTGCATTAATTTATTTTATTTTATTAAAATATATTACTACATATAATAAACAATTCATAATAAAATAATAGCATATGGAAATACTTTTAAATTTGTTTTAAAAAATATATTATCAACAACTTTAAAAGCTTTTCCAATTATTACATTATAAAAATTTCTAACTTAAAGTGTTGTGTTGTTGTTTATTTTTACTTTAAAAAATGTATTTTAATAAATTTTATTATTATATTACTATATATCAAAACAATTCATAATAAATTAATGGCATATGAAAATACATTAAAAAAAATATTTTTAAAGCTTTTCCAATCAGAAACAGTTTTTTTTTTACTATTATATTATATGATATTATATTATATTATATATTATATTATATTTTTAAAAACCATCTATAATAAATGAATGTCAGATTTTTATTTTGTAATACTAATAATTTATTTTTTTGATTGTAATACTGAAATACTTGGCCAGCAAGAGTAATATGTCACTTGAGTGGATAAAACAAACAACAATAGTGGACTTCGACAAATGCCAAAAATATGACCGACATCGTCTCTTATGAAGGATTAGGAGCTCAGATTTAATCAAGTAAATAGATCTCAGGACCTCCATATAAAAACGCATCCTGGTGCTTTGCTTCAAATTAGATACGTTTACAGCTGCACATACTGTCATCACAAGATTGAAATACATCAATTTACTAAGTAAATACTATACGAAGTATTCATTGGCAGAGACCAGAAATGTGACCTGATGAACTATTAACCTCTTCCATGTTGTGTGAAAGAGAGATTTAAAAAACATCATAAACTCTGAGGTCATTTTAATGTAATTGAATAAAAATATTGTAAAACCTTTTTCTCTCAGTGAACAGTCACCTAGCGGGCTCCTATGGCTTAAAAAAACTATGCTAAAATTGTTTCTGTTTTGCATTTTTCTTATTTAATATAAATTATAATGAAAAAAAAATCTTCATTTATCAGCGTAATATCTTCATAATGTCTTAGTATATTGTGTGTTGTTTCTTGTGTAAAACCTGATGATTATGTTCTCAAGCATGATTTGAGATGCTTCCAATGAAGCCCAAGTTTTTTTTGTTTTTGTTTTTAAATCTTAAAAACTTCTGGGTGTTTGTATCACACAATCAATATTACAAATGTACTTATTTTATTATTGACCTAGTGCAGAAATGTACATTTCTTTTCATTTAATGTAATAATATTTCTACTTAAAATTTTGAGTTTAAATTTGATTTTGATTCCCAAATCTTCAATGCAATCACAGACATTTGAACCCCACTATATGGGTGGCAGTATTTACTTTAAAAGAGTCCTTTAGAGTTGGTCTGGTATGCATAGATTGATCATACAATTCCTTTAATCAAATAATAGAAATGAGAAGGGCATTTTTGTTATATTTTAGTGTCCTGTTATTGGCAAAGGTCATTGCCCACCCTTTTGCTTTAAACTGTATATGTGAGATTAAGAGTTGCAAGTAGTCTTGTACCCAGTGCACCTTTGATTTCAAAAGAGAAAAAAGACTGACATGCTTCAGGTAGTGTGAATGCTAAAATGGATTACTTTGACAGTGACCTTGGTTGCATTTCAAAGCAGTTGAATGGCGAAAATATGCATTTTTTGGCCGAGCCGAAACCTCTCGGTGTCTCTTGAGTAATTTCCATTCACCTGTAAACACACACTCCTGTTCTGGTAAACAAGATTCACAGTCAGAGAAAAAAAAAGAAGTAAGACTTACTTGATAGTCATAAAGGATTTTTTAATTTCAATGAGTAAAGATCAAAGCCGTGCTGTATTTCTGAAGTAGCACATTGCCTGAAGCACTGAAGCATATATTCACAACAAATCTTGTTGCTCGTGCAAGGTATTACTTTAATTTTACTGCTCTGATTGAAGGGAGGGGAGCGATATATTACACATATTCTGCGTAACCTTATTTGCTATCAAAATATATAATGTACCACCTGCTCCTTATTTTATTTTTTTACTTCAAAATCAGTTTTGCATCAAAATGAAAAATAATTTTCCTTTATCTATAATCCTCTCTAATAGTCAACCAGCAGTTTTAATCTTTAGATGCATTTTAAATCCAAGCTGTAATGTCTTAACTCTTTCACAAGGTCATATATCTTAGCAAACAGAGCTTAAGCTTTGTTTTATATGAACAAAGTACATGATTAATACTGAAGAATTAATCATGCACTATTCATATACAGCAGATTGAGTAGTGATGAGGATTAGATTGATAGTTCCTGGCCTACTTTTTCATATGACATATATTGACATTGCAGTTTAGCAAAGTACAGCTAAAGAGAAACTTTTAACTCTGTGTAATGTGTCTGCCTGGCCAGAGGTTGTGAAATTAATATCAATAACACTTTAAATTACAGTATTAGTTGCATAAAAACTAATTACAAAAGTAATAGTATGAAAGTGTATGAAATTGTTTTTACTTTAAACTTGGCATATGAAGAGTGGTAGACTATAAAAAAAAAGATATTTTTAAATTTCACGTTTAATTCATTGTGGTACCTGCCATTTCTTTTATTATTTGTGATTTTTTTTTTCATTGTACAACTTTTTGTGTGTAGACACACACATCTTCATAGAACTGCGAGCTGTGCATGATCCAGTTAAACTTGCATATGTTTTGACACAAATATTGTCTGATGTAATGTTTTTTTTTAAATTAAATTAATATTTGAATTTCATTATTATATCATTACATATCAAAATACTTGTTTATTTATTGTTTTATTAACAACTCTAAAAACTTTTCCAATTAAAAACTAATCAAGTTTTCTGTTTATTTTTTATTTGATCTTATTTATATATTTTTATATTATATATTTTTTCTCTTTTGAAATCAAAGGTGCACTGGGTACAAGACTACTTGCAACTCTTAATCTCACATATACAGTTTTTATATATATAATATAATATAATATAATAAATTAAAGGGATATGGAAATACTTGTTTATTTTATTAATATTTTATTTTATTTTATTTTATTAATACAAATATTTTTTTAAAATTCAACAAGATTTTCCAAACAGAAACTAATTAATTTTTGTAATATGTTATTTTTCATTTTTGAACTTTAAAAGCTTTTGCAATCAGAAACTAATCAAGCTGTATATTTTGTATTGTTTTTTTTGTTTTGTTTTAATTTATTATAGTACAGTATAGTGAAATTTGTTTCATCACATATTTTTTTTCCAGAGTACAGCTTTGTGTATGTAGATATACACATGTTCATAGAATTGAGAGTTGTACAAGATCCAATACAAGCAAATTTATACAGTGATCATTGTGCGTTTTGCGTGCTGTGACAAAAGTTAAAGTCGCGGATGTTTTGACGCAAATATTATCTGATGTATATGTATTTCAGTGAAGTGTACACAGTGTGGTTTCTGTGGATGGCCTGCGTTTCTTCAGCAGCAGCAGACTCCTCTGAGGAACTGGCCTGACTCATCTGCATCTGTGACAGGTAAGAAAAGAAACCAAACAACTCACAGTGAGACAAGCAGAGAGCTGCCCTGCACAATGCACCCTATTTTTTTTTTCCTTTCTTTTTTTGCGGTGACTAGATATTCATTTTCACACCTCGCTTCTCCATATTTATGATTGCCCATGAGAACATTTTTTATTTATGCTGACTTCTTTCATAAACTGGACAGTGGTTTCTTTTTTTTCTCCATGTGTGTCAAAACAGTCTCTGATTTATAATTAATGTGATTTATGATCGCTATAAGCTATCAAAAATGTCAAAAGAAAAGTTTTTTTGAGTACAAAGTCAAATCAAAGATGGTTTATAATTCACAATCTGACTTATTAATTTGTCTATGCAACTGAATGACCAATGTTTCATTTGAACTTTTTTAGCTTTTGTCTCAAAGTGTGTTTTGTAGGCCAACAAATTTTGAATTCATATCCACATAAATGTGTATTAAAAAATCTTTTTAGAGTGAGCTTTTGCCTTTAGGGGTTTCTACCTGAATCCTTAATGTGGTGTGTAGTTATGCTATGTTATATAATCTTCTTGCAGTCTATGCCATGAGCAAAGAGTGCCTAAAAGAGAGTTAGAGATTTGAGTACATGTTCAGTTCTCTGTTTATCATGTCACCTGACCTGCACTTTGAGCATCTCTCACCTTCACTCCAAATGCTTCGTGGACTTTTATATACAGTATTCTTCTTCTGTGGGTGGAATTTTTTGTACCATGTTTTGTGTAAATGTCTTAAAGGCCTTGTGCTAAAGTTAACGCACCGTGGAACTTGACTGTCATTTTCTGACAACGATACAGTAATGCATCAGTGTGATCTTTTTGGCAGTGGAACGAATTTAAAGCACAACATTAAAATAAAACATCCAACCGGTGCATTTTTCCTTTTTTTCTGTTTGCTCATGATTGGTGATTTGTTAGCAGGTTTGTGCAGCTATTATCATAAAGTATGTCAAAATATTTGAACCGTGCCACTGACAAATGGAACTCACTGTACTTTTTATGTAAAGCGCTAGTGGTTTTCACTTACTGTGAGTTTCACCCTATGAGGCCGAGTCAAATTGACTTTCATGTCTGCATTGATTGTAGATATTACACAATGCAAATATGCGTCTAAACCTGGCTATTTGGCATAATTGAGGCTGTTTAACAATGTGTTGTGTTCTGCTGAATAGGCCACCTTTCTGGATCCTTCCTGCTGCATTTAATGCTAAAACATATTGGCAACTGACATTCGTGGACTCCATTAAAAGACTGACAATTACTTAAGGAAAACATTTCTGCTCTCGCCCGGATGTTTGCGTTTGATTGGGCTGATAAAGCTGCAAATGTGGGTGTTTTGAGTGCTCGGTTTGAATTTCATCTAAAGTGCAAAGCTGTGTTTATTTCAGATAAAATGAATTGATTAGTTATGGTGAATTATGTTTCTTATCAGCATTTTGTTAGCAAGTGATATAGTTTAGATGACCGTCAGACCTTTTCTTTCTTGGCAATTCCTGTAAAATGCAAATAAAAGGGAGTGAATAGTTTTTCCATCATACTAAATAAAAAATATTTTCTTTGGATATTGTATTAAGTATTAAATTAAACTACTCAGACAAATGATTTTAGATTTAAAATTCAGTGTGTCTGTGTTAGTCTGCATTGCCTAAAAAAAAAAAAGTAATCAAAATGTATGTAGTTTGAATGCAAATGAATTGTAAGTACTTGATTTTACACATTTAAATTTATTCCATACAGTAAGTGTATTTAAATAAAACTTTAGAATTTTAACTCATTTTAATTGAATCAAAATAAACTAAGCAACAAAACCCATTTTTGGTCTGAAAAAGGACTTCTCAAGCTGCTCTAAGATGATCTAGTGCAAGGTCTTCAGAGATCCACTCATTAGTTTAGCCCGGTGTAGTCGGCTGCTTGGTTTACAGCTTTCAGTCATGGAACTAGGGCAAATGTTATGAAGCATAACATCTGTCAATCAAACTACTTTAATGAGTCAGATTTGTTGATGAAATTTGGTTGTCACTGGGGGGTTTTCTGCTATGAGAGGTTTTCTCAGGACATGTAGACCTTTTTTTAGTGGAACCAAACCTCGATCAGGCCTCATTGGAGCAATAATATCATATTCTCAGGAACATCTCCTGACAGACCAAATCATGTATGTTTCTCAGGATTTTTCATATTGGAATAATTGTGAATTGGTTTAATACCGCACTGTCTGATACAATCGGAACGTCCGTTGTTCTATTAACAAGATTGATATCAGTCTAAGTCTTGATATTTAAGAGGAATGCCATTGAAAGCCATTGTTTCTTTCAAAGTCATTTGGTTAAATCTGAGTTTTCTTTGAAATCGACTATTATTTTCTTTTATAACCAAACTCTCTTTTCATACACCCTTCAATAGTACCAAAAACATACATGGCCTGATTGTTGATTTGACAAAGTAGCTCAACAAGAGGTATTGTAGTCTAGACTACATTGTTTTCATATGACTAAACCGTGTGCCATTGAAGCCTTACGTCATTCGTGGCATTGTGGTATATTCTCACTAGTACCTCTAAATGAATGTCAACTTGTTTTATTTCTGCTGCAGCCGATCGATACTTCATTAGGCTGAATTGTCTTGTGTCCATGCAACCTTGAAGCTGTGGCTTAATTACCTCCAGTATTATGCAGTGGGCTCTGGATGTGAGGCAGGCTCAGCTGTGTCCCCCTCCAACAAAGCCTCTCGGCTTCCTAAAGGTTGGGCTCGGGGTGGGGGCATAAGGTGGGGCGGGGATGCAAAGAGGAGGAGGAGGAGGTGGAGATATGAGCCATAGATGCAGCGAAGCTCAGGGGGCTGCCATTCTTTCAAGGCGCCTGGCCGTTTTATTCATTCCAAATGGACGATTGAAATGAGGGGAGATGAACATTCGGAAATGTCACCAAGCTTAGGGTTTGATGGTCTGGCTGTGTGTATTGTGCAGAGTGCAAATCTAATTCCCCGTCTGTCCACCGAAAGGTTCAGGCTTCGCGGAAGGCAAAGAAGAGGAGAGCGGAGGGGAGGAAAAATGGAGAAAGGAAAAGGAAAGCATTGATAAATTTGATTTCCACACACATGCTAGATGCAGTTAGGCAAATTTGGATAATTTAGAATTAATGGCTATCAATGTATCATTCATCTGTAGGCAGAAAAGCCGGTGGAGGAGGGGGACTGGGAGTGCAGTCAAATGGCAATCATGACAAATGACATCGCCTGTCTGAGAGCCACTTCTCCTCACTGGGCTGATTTGTCATCTCCACTTTTGACATTTTTCATCCTAGTATCAAATCACAATGACAGTCTGATATTTTCTAATTCTCTGTAGCCAGGAGCGCATCAAAATAATGCCTTATATATGCCTTTGCTGCTCCTGGCTGCAGAAAACTGCACAAAACCCATATCAGACCTGTCCTTTAAAAATGGCATGCATGTTATACAAGCAAAGTACACAAGAACAATGTTATAATTAGTACCTTTGTTAGTAGTATGTTGTTTTTTAATCAAAAAGACTTGCATTATCTGTTTAACATGATTTAAATTGTTATCCAGTGTCATAATTTGTGTCATAATTTATATATGCTATATATAACATTTTATATTATGTGTGTGTTATTGACATATGAGATTAATATAGCATATGATATTATTACCATGTTGATAGTAATTAATAAATAATTAGTCCACAACTAATATTGTCTTCTTAAATAGAAATAGATGTTAAAACATTTATCGTGTATGGCCTGGAATAAGCATCTGATCATGGCCTTGATCAACCTTCTTGATTTTGGTGCAGTGTGTGTGAAGATGATGATTTTTAATATTGTTTCTATGTGATGGTAATGATATTTGACATTTTAATGACATTTTTCAGTTTTGGAAGAAAAAGTTGGATAAGCTGTGAATACAATAATAAAAGTTGAAAACTATTATAAAGTAAAGTGACCTAAATGATGAAATAATAACAACAACAACAATAATAATAATAATAATAATTTTATAAATATAATTTGAAATTCATAGTATATTATTATTATTATTATTATTATTATTAGTAGTAGTAGTAGTAGTAGTAGTTGTAGTAGTATTACTAAATCCTATACAGTAAAATTCCCATAATTGAGAATTTGACATGATCTGTCATGGGAATTGTTGATACTAAAACTTAGTTTAACCTAATAAATATTTAAGTTGAAATACCACAGTGGTGTTAAACTAAGCTTTCCATAAGTCTAACGCATTGTCTTAATACATTTCTATAAAACGTATGCGGTATGATTGTGTAATGCCTGCTGCGTCTATAGCACATCTATCTATAGCACGATCAGAGCGAAAACTGTAGGGCTCATTTGAGTAACATGAAATCTTTATGAGTCCTGCTCAGTGAGGAGAGATAAACATTGGGCAGAATTAGTGTCATTCCCCAGTTAAAGCAGAGCTCCTAAAGTCTCACATTATCTGTGATGTCTCTCCAGGGTGGTGGCAGGCCCTCCAGGAAAGCAGATGGCAACTAATTCCTTTTTTCCTGCAGGTCTCTTTCATTACATCTGATCCCGATTGTGTCTAAATGGTGTAATTATGCAGCAAGAGGTTTTTTGCTGCTTATTGTTTTATGTAGTAAATGTCAAGTATGCATGGCTTCACATGATTCGTTAGCATCTGCCCAGGCTCCACCATTGCAGGCCACTGCCTGATTCTTGGCATTAATGACAACTGCAATTATTTCAAATCCGTACATGGGCTAAAGACAGTATTTGGCTCTGACAAGGATTGTTAGGTTCTCTTTTTCTTTCTCTCCATCCATCTACAGTAAGAGATACCAGTATGGAGTTTGACAGGAGCACTGGCTTTCTGGTGCAGGAACACAGTCCCATGGTGAATCAGGTTTCTCTGCGGATCGCCCTTCATGTAATGAAAGCTTCATGTGAGGGAGCTCAGGCCCCGAGCGCCCTCTCCTTCGCTCATTC